TGGACATTGAGGGGCTGCGGGAGGACGGGCTCAGGTGGGACCCCAAAAACACCCAAATTCACCCCAAAATAGCCCAAAATATCCCCCCAATGGACATCGAGGGGCTCCGGGAGGACGGGCTCAGGTGGGACCAAAATCCCAAAAATTCACCCCAAAATATCCCAAAATATCCTCCCGATGGACATCGAGGGGCTCAGGGAGGACAGGCTCAGGTGGGACCCCAAAATCCCCCAAATTCACCCCAAAATATCCCAAAATATCCCCCCGCTGGACATCGAGGGGCTGCGGGAGGACGGGCTCAGGTGGGACCCCAAAAACACCCAAATTCACCTCAAAATATCCCAAAATATCCTCTCAATGGACATCGAGGGGCTCCGGGAGGAGGGGCTCAGGTGGGACCCCAAAAATACCCAAATTCACCCCAAAATATCCCCCAAATGGACATCGAGGGGCTCAGGGAGGACGGGCTCAGGTGGGACCCCAAAATCCCCCAAATTCACCCCAAAATATCCCAAAATATCCCAAAATATCCCCCCAATGGACATCGAGGGGCTGCAGGAGGACGGGCTCAGGTGGGACCAAAAACACCCAAATTCACCCCAAAATAGCCCAAAATATCCTCTCAATGGACATTGAGGGGCTGCGGGAGGACGGGCTCAGGTGGGACCCCAAAAACACCCAAATTCACCCCAAAATAGCCCAAAATATCCTCCCGCTGGACATCGAGGGGCTCCGGGAGGACGGGCTCAGGTGGGACCAAAATCCCCCAAATTCACCCCAAAATATCCCAAAATATCCCCCCAATGGACATCGAGGGGCTGCGGGAGGACGGGCTCAGGTGGGACCCCAAAAACACCCAAATTCACCCCAAAATATCCCAAAATATCCCAAAATATCCCCCCAATGGACATCGAGGGGCTCCGGGAGGACAGGCTCAGGTGGGACCCCAAAAATACCCAAATTCACCCCAAAATAGCCCAAAATATCCCCAAAATAGCCCAAATTCACCCCAAAATATTCCCCAAAACCCCCCAAAAACCCCAGAAAAACCCCATAAAACCTCAAATCCCATAAAAACCCTATAAAAATCCCATAAAATTCCTATAAAAATCTTATAAAATTCTCATAAAATTCCTATAAAATTCCCATAAAAATCTTATAAAATTATCATAAAATTCCTATAAAATTCCCATAAAATTCCTATAAAAATCTTATAAAATTCCCATAAAATTCCTATAAAATTCCCATAAAATTCCTATAAAAATCTTATAAAATTC